CCTTTCGTTTCAATTTGATTTGTATGGTTTTTGTTGTGTATATCTTTTGTTTTTAAATGTGTATAAAATTTTTGGTTTTAAATGAAATGAATAAACAATTTAAACTAAACTATATTACTGTTATTTGTGTGTTTGACAGAAGAGAAGGCGACCAACCACAGGCGGCCAGCTGGATGACAAAAGACGGGAGATGATAAAAAGGCACCCACTCTCCCTGTGCTTGGACCTTAAGTGTAAAGGTAATGTATTAATAGTGTTTTTTTAGAAGTCTACACAAATTCAGGGCACTCAGCATGTTTTTAATATTTGCACCCTCTTTGTCTCCCATACCTGTAACATAATGTATACGCTGGACTGTATTAGCAGCTCTATGCTTGTGTGTATATCTAGTATGTGGCAGAAAAAAAMCCCGCTCTGCTATGACATGACACCGCTTGACCCTCGTGGTCCCTCTGCTGGCAACAAAGGGAATCTGGTGACAGATTAAGGGAAGATCTGCATTGCAGGCGTAACGCTACCTAAAGTGCGAGCAGGGAGGGTGGGGTGGGGAGCGAGGTGAGGGAGACACTAGCAGCATCGTGGGTCTGCAGCACCTACAGAATCTTGGAAGAATTTTCTCATACAAGCACTCTCTCTCTGATTTTGTTACTGCTGCTCTCTCCGTTCACTTTTTTTTAGACCGCTGCCAGCTGCGGCAGTCGTTTTAGTGCAGTAAAAGCAAAAAGTGAGCGGTGTAGGTGTGAGTGAGTGACAGGGTGTCACTGAGTTCACTGTTACTGCAGACACTGGAGCTGGAAAGATGACCATCAGCGTTCTGTGGGCTCCCTATGTGCTGCTAGCTGCCATCCTGACCACACCCAATCTTTGCTCTCTAAACACATTGCAGTGCAAAGTAAACCCAGGAGGAYGATCACTAGCAGGATTAATGAAAAGGATGATAGAGAGAGCTTAAAGACTGCAGTGATACTCACTTGGAGGATTGTGTAATGTATTCTCCTCTTGTCTCCACAGACGGCAGCGTTCTGCATTTATTCTTCTACTACTTGATGAATCTGAACATTATGACGGTCAAGACCACAGTCTCCACCTCCACTGACCTCAGCATGGCCATCAGTGCTGGGTATGTGTATGGACAGAAGAATTTAGACATTTTCTGCATTTTTTTTAAATCCCAAAGATGATGATGATTATTAATTATTTTTTACAGGGAGCTTCTTAAATCAGACACTCTCCTCAGCTGCCTCTACACCAGTGACCAGGGCAGAGAAACTCCCAATCCAGCCAATCGCTACCAGTTTGATAAAGTCGGGTAAGTGGGTTAAAATTAAAGGTATACACAAAATCACATCCACTTTAACAAAAATAACTCCCAACTTCAACWCAGGATTGTTTCATTTGCGGATTATGTGGAGGACCTGGGATATCCCTATATGTGGGTTCAGAATCTCGGAGGACTGCACTTTCCTGGTGAATCTTCAGAGGTGTGTGTTGACATCAAGATGTTTCCCAGCCGAGTTCAGCTGCAGCTGTTGAGTGACAGCGTGGTGTTTGTGTTTGCAGGGTGTGCTGGTGGGGAGTTCTCTGAGTGCCAGCCACATGGAGAGCACCATGAAGCTGCTGAGGGGACGAGTCCAGTCCCGCTTGGCTCTGCACAAACAGTTTGCCTCTTTAGGTGTGATGTTTACCAGCTGCATGYRTCAGAACCTCCTAGTGCTTCATTACTTTAGAGGAAACTGACTTGTTTCTGCCCTCAGAACACAGCATTGTTCCAATCACCAGTGAGTGCCAGAACCTGTTTCCTGCCAAGATCATCTCCCGCTTAGCGAGTTGGACCACCATCAGTCAACATGAGTACATGGTACAGTTTTAAGAAGTCATGTATTTAGAACATACAGCTCAGTAGTAATCACTAAATAAGTATTGATTAATAAACATAAAAAGGTAGAAAAAAGAAATTATATAGCTGTAACTGCTAAATCTGGACTTGGTCTACAAATTCTTGTTCTATTAATGCTGGATCTGGTTCATTTTAATGGGTTTGTTTCTGATAATGTATTTAAAATTTTAATTTAATTTCTGAGTGTATGACTTTCTKCTTTTAAAGGCGCTGCCTTACACCCGTCATGTAACTGATGCCGGACTGGCCAAGGAGACGGACCTGTACTTTATGGCAGTCATAGAAAGAGGCACAGGTAAATCCAACCCCAGCCAACTGAACGGATTTTTATTGTTGTTGTTTTTGTTTATTTACCATCATGTCTTTTCATTGTTTCAGCTCGACTCCATGCCGCAGTGGTTCTGAGTCCCCGTTACCCAGAGATCTCTCCTCTGTTTTCTTTGTCTCTGAACTGGAAGGGAGAGTGTAGTGGACGCACTGACGACAACCTTCGTGTACGGAAATTATTTTAGTCCATAATATTCCCAATGTTTTCGCATGATTGCTCCTGTGTCTTTTGTGGTTATATTTTTACCCTAACATAGTTTTTTTTGTTTGTTTGTTTAGGCCATGGAGAGTGAAGTGAACGTGTTTAAAAATGAGCTGCAGGGACCTCGGCCGGGGCACCAGCTTCTCACCAATCAGATAGCTCGCCTGTGCGTCTGCCTGGACCTGTATTTGGAGACAGAAGGACAAGATGACAGCGTAGAAGGACCTCGTGAGTTCCCTCGTGAAAAGATGTGCCTGCGCACTGTCAGGTATGTAGTTAGTGTAAGAAGTTAAACACCATTTTTACTTAAAGGAATCCCTGATTAGTTGTAACATTACACTTTATTTGATAAACATATTTTAACTGTAAAATAAAGAAAAATACTGTAGGCTGTTTAGTTTTGTAATTTTTTTAAAATATATTTTAACATGGACGGAGCCATTTTATTTACACACAAAGCATTCTGGGTAAATGATGACGTGGATAGGTCCTTGGTGTGAGCGAGCTATATTCACCCTGAAGGTTAATCTTGGACAAAATCTGACGATCAGCTCTTTTAAATGAAACCAGAGAGCGTTGACAGAGATGAGAAGGTAGAAATGACTCAGCCTGKAACTGAAAATATGGATGGAGGACAACAGAGCTGCTTCATGGAAGAAGAACCTCAGCAATTGAATAGGATATAAGCTCATTACTTTTGTTATGGAAGAAAGGAAGGAAGGAACACCCCACCACCCTGACCACCTGTGCTTACAGTGCTTACAGACAATGCTTTCATTTTTTCTGACAAAATATCTGATTCTGCACACGACAAAACGTTGGATAAACTCCCAGCTTAGTTTAGTTTAGTTTAGTTTAGTTTAGTTTAGTTTAGTTTAGTTTAGTTTAGTTTAGTTTAGTTTAGTTTATTTCAGACAAACCTTTCACCGGCAGTGTAGAACAACATAAAGTACATAATATATTTCTTGAAAACACATCACACATCAGCTTCTGAGTGTTCTGGAGTTTGCAGCGTCTCTCAGCTGCTGTTTGTGATGAGACTCAGACAGGAAGTGGTCTTCACGTCTCGTCCAGCCCATCGTGTGCCGACAAAACTTACAGAAAACTTCTTCTCCAGATAAATGAAGAACCGCTGGGACATTGTTTTGTTCTAAACGTTACCCTAAGACCGCTTCATATTTTTGGAGGATGCTTTTGTTTTAGCGAGACGCGCATCACGACTCCCACCCTTCCCTCTGTGTAGGGAGGGGAGCTCAGAGCTCACCCTGCCTGCCTGTTAACAGGTAATGGCAGGTACAGGAAGCGACAGCGGCCAAAATACCTCAGAAACTCACCCAAAAAAGCGAACGCTTAGCGATTYAGCATTTTATACTGGATTACTTTTGTTTGGTTAAGTCTGCGTTTCCTTAGCAACTGATAAACAGAAGTGGAGCAGGAGAAGGTGGATTCTGAYTGGCTATTGTCTTGCACATTTCTGACATGTTTGATTAAGTAAGAGGCTCACATCTGATCTCCGTGATCGACCTGAATTTTTTCTCGATCAATTATCGCGATCAAATAATCGCCCAGCCCTACCTCGTGGGGACCGAAGTGCATCGTGGGGACCAATGCCAGGTCCAAATGCAAATTACAGGTGTGGGGTTAGGTTTAGGGCCAAGGTTTAGGTTAGTTTTAGGGTCAGGTAAGTACCTGTGAAGTTAATTTTAGGGTGTATGGTCAGGGTTAGGCTATAAAATCCAAAAAAAAAAAAAAAGAATGGAAGTCAATGCACAGTCCCCACGGTGTTCAGGAACAAAGTGTGCATGTGTGTGTGGTTGGGGTTGTGTATATATGTGTGTGTGTGTAGAGCTTAAGTTATGTATTTGTATTATAGCAATTCTTTGCAAAAGTGCCATAAATGTATGATTGTTGCTGTTATTGGTATTAGCAGGTGAAAAGGCAGTCATGGAGTTTGATTCTAGTCATAGAATGAAGAAGAGGAGGAAGAGTCAGTTGAGGAGGGAGAGGAGGAGGAGATGTAAGAGTAGAGAAGGAGAATGAGGAAGTGGAGGAGAGGCAGCAGGACCCATTAAAAAAAACAGTTCCAGCTACTCTGGAGGTTGATTTTTGTTTAACGTTTGCTTTGATTTTTATGAAAAGCTGCTTGTTTGATAAGCTTTCATAAAGTGATTTGTGTTATTTTTACTAACATTGAACACACACACACACATTTTCCCTTGTGAGGACCGTCCTCACAAGGGCAAAATGTCCTCACAAAGATACTTATTTTTAGCGCGAGACACGCACACACACACTAGGGTTGGGCAATATTGGCAAAAAAATATTAATCACAATTAATTGGGGTATTTAGCCGATAACAATTAATTTGACGATTAATGCCCTGGGGTCCCTGGACACGGGTAATTTAGTGGGAAAGATTTGCTCTTCGTAAAAATCTTTTCCAAATTGTGTAAAAATTACAGACTTCAGGCTATACATCAAATTTTAAATTATGTTGATAGATAAATAAATTACAGAACCTTTTTTTTAATGTTCATCATGTTTGAAAGCGGAGAGGAGCAC